ATAATAATAATAATAATAATAATAATAATAATAATAATAATAATAATAATAATAATAATAATAATAATAATAATAAATAATAATAATAATATATACTACTATGGTTTCCAAGCTGCAACATATAGCTTACTTATTATAGCTTCACATTATGTGAGCATTTCAGTCAGATGTATGAAAGTGCCTGGGGTTAAATCTGCATGTATCCTATAGTTCTCCGTGGTATAAACAATATGACACTCGCAAGGACAGCGAGAGGTTGCAGGTTCGAATTCCGCCAGAGACACTTTTTTTTTCACACAGCTGAATAAAAAAGAACTTTTTGAAGGGCTATGCTTGATACGATTATAATATCTTGTGTCTATTTGAGCACATTATTTTATTATTATTTATCTATTTATTAGTCTTATTATATCATACGGCGTCTTCTCTTTATTTCAGAACGAACTGTTTTCCAAGCAAATTGCATCGTGGCTAGTAACAGGCCTACACGTAGAGTAATACGGAACAAATAATGGGGTCGATACTTCAAGTAAGGACATCTATCTCACATCAACGATCAAAGGAGATCCGAGTGTACGAAAGAATTGTCTTTCTTCTCTTCACTTTTACATTCACCGCGGTTTTATGCAGCTCAATGAAGGATACAAGCCTGAACAATTTTGAAACGTATGATGGTGAAACTAGACGAAACATGGAAATATTGGAGCCACCTCCAATGAGCGTTACCACCAATTATCCAAGACGCCATGTCTATTCAATAATTAACAAAAAGAAGCAAGAAAAACCTGACGCATTTCACAGCTCATTAAAGAAAATCAGCTCACAAAAAGAAATAAAAACTGGAGGTTTGAATGAAATTCTGATTCAAGGGACTGAAGTGACTGTTCATGAGAAAAACCCTTCTCCGGATTTCAGATACGATGCACAATCTCTTCAACCGTGGCCTAACAAGTCAGAGCAGGCTGAAAGACGAAACACCGCCGGAGGGCACCGTTTAGACGGATCAACCAAAACCTCTCCGATGAATAGAATATCATCAGCGTCAATTGACAAACGACTAGCTAAATCCCACAGAACACATAAGCCTACTCATTCACTGATTTTTAGAAACTTCTTAACAACAAAACGCGAAGAAGAGGCGTTAATCCCTCTTGATTCACTAGTTAAGAGACAGGAACCATTGGACAATATAATTGAAAATGAGATTTTGTGGGGTCCTAGAGCAGAAGAACTAGTCCCGCAAGGGTTAGAGAGTGACGCATGGTCCACGAAAGCGAGATTGTACTCAATTTTAAACGTGACATGTGGATGTGGAAGAATGCAGAATCGACTGGTTATCACTGAAGATGGCACAAAAATGTGCGCGCGTTACCGCATGAACCAAGACCAGATCCAGGGTGAAGTATTTTCCTATTACCTAAGCAAGGTTCTTGGAATACAGAATGCCCCACCATTGGTTCTCAGCACCGTGGATTATGAAAGCCCACAATGGCGATCGGTTCGTGGTCAGATCCAGGACGCCGGATGGACGGATGGCAAACTGGTAATTTTAAGTCAATGGGTACCGGATTTAATACCTGTGTATGTCCCAATCGAATTCCACGATGAGCGTAAGCAACTACATCCGATTAACATTGTTAACAAAACGTACACGGAAATATCAGAGCTCGTCCAATGGTCGGATATGGTAATATTTGACTATTTAACGGCGAATCTTGATCGGCTTACAAATAACATGTTTAACAAACAATGGAATAATTTAATCATGGACAGTCCTGTTCATAATCTTGCTAAATCAAAACAATCCGGGTTACTTATTTTTTTCGATAATGAATCCGGGCTACTTCATAGCTATCGTCTGCTCGATAAGTTTGGCAAGTTTCACCAAGAGATTCTACAGTCACTTTGCATTTTTCGCGCGAACACAGTATCAATCATAGAAAAATTATATCATGACGATAATATTTCTGCCATGATAAAAGCAGAATATGAATCCAACGAACCGTTACATACACGATTATTTGGCTTACCACACCGTAACATCGAAATTCTAAAACAAAGACTTGCAGATGTCTACAAGCAAATTCAATTTTGCAGACGAAAGTTTGACACACCTGCAGATGTATGACAATGGCGAAATTTTGATTATATTTTATGATTATAATTTGTATCTATTAGTTGGCCTTTAATTATGTACAACCACGATATAAATAAAATACATAGTATATCATTGTATTGTAAACGGTAGAGAAGATATGTGAAAGAATTACCCCGAGATTCGAACCCGGATCACTCGCTATATAATGCATGAAGTCCTAATTGGGGATTAAATGAAATTTCGAAACCAATTGATTTTATATTCTACATACAGTATATGATGGTACATCACTATTATTCGTAAAAAAAAAAACAGTGTTGCAGTCATGAAGAGAATCTACGTAGTAGACTTAATTCACTATTGAACCACTCAAAGAACAGAATTTAATATTTTTTTGCATAATTTTGTAAAACGTTTATATAATGTGTAAGTGCAATAATAGTAATAAATCAATATGAGGTCTCTTTAAATTTGAAATAGAAAATTAATGTATCTTGTGGATGATAATGTTTTATTTTTATCGTATTTGCGTATGTTGTCATCCTCACCCTAACCAAAATTAACTGTCATCACTACCACCTACCACACTATGACCCACCAACCACATTATCATCAATCACCATAGTTACCAAATCGCAATTAACATCCAAAATCATAAAAATTAACAGCCAAAATCATGAATAATAATCAACATGCATGCATACACATCACCATTTACATTGTATACCGGAAGTGTAGTGTGGATTAGCTTGTACAATACTGTAGCTCGCTTCTCTCCTAAGGGTCTCTCAGCTATCTCTTGTCTGTCCTGTATGAACCAGTATTTATAGTCCTTATCCGAGAATACTTGTTTCACCGTTTGAACCAGCAACAATATTATGGCTGTATGTTGCGGCTCCCCTGACTTAACCGCTCCGCCATTTGACTTGCCATCATTACCAAATTATTATAATTAACAACCATTGTCATGAATAATCATAAACATGCACACACTTTTCAGGCAAAATAGATAATTCATATCCTACTAGGTACATACTTAAGTCGGGCACACACAATGGTCAGTGAATATAAGAAGCGCTTAAGAGATCGTTTTTAATGATGATCCGGTCAGTTTGGTACTGACAATTAGCAGAGTCGTGTCATCAAGCTCTCACTGACAGCAGAGATCAATTTGTTGGTAGCCGGTCGTAGAACGTGCTGTGCGTGCCCGGATTTATATACTGAATTTCATTCCGACAAAAATGCTTTTATAAAACATGTATTTATTGTCTTTATTACATCATTAGTAAAATTAACAACATACAATGTGAACGAAAATTATCACATCATACAATAAAAACAATAACAATTATAATTATTAATAAATATAATATGTAATAGTCATATATTTGTAATAACTGAAATATTAATAGTACAGTGTTGTTAACAATAATAGTACCAGTCCGTCTAGTGCAATTTTGAAAGAAATGACAATTTAGTATAACAGATATAACATTTAGACAGAAACTTAACCGAGCATTTTTTATAATCTACGTAGATGATACTGCCGATTTACTTACTAGGTCCATATGTTGATAAGAATAACCCAGCACTTATGATGCACTATCTATTTAGGAAACTTCCAAAGCACAGATAATACACTTGTCAATTGTAATCCTGGGCCCTCCTCCCCAGATATGCACAATAGCAGCGCACTAGCTATGACTGAGCTGGGGAGGTACAGACATCTGTGTCCCTATAGCACTGCGTTGAATCTGGAACTAACCCAGGAATGTAACAGGCTTGAAATGGTCAGGAATTTTAAACATCAGAGTAGCCAGGTTTTCCGGTATTTGTACTGCAAAATAGCCGGGATTTAAACAGGAAAGAAGTATGTTAAAATGGTGCCCAGGACTGTATGTATGTAGTCATAGACAACAGGCTGGGATTACAATTGCCAAGTGCATAATCATTTACCCTTTGTCTTTTCAAAATATTCACATCTAAACAGGAACACTTGTCCTCCTGTGTAGAGCGACAAATATGGATAAAGTGTCGAGCCAAGATACGGGCAATGTGACCTGTATTGGAATCAGACCCACAACATCTTGGCTGGAAGCACAAAGCCTTACTTCGAAAAAAAAAAAAAAAAAGACCAACTGCCATAGCCCAGGAGAGACCAAATATCGCTTGCTATAGTAAAGGCCTTCCCAAAGTTCTCAAGTAATCATTCCAGGACTAAATTATGAGGTTTGCCATCCCAAAACCTGTGTACTGTCACTAAATGTTAAACTGAGTAATTAGCATAAGAATGTGACAGTATTGTATACTTTAGTACAGAGAAGCTGTAATACTTTTAACTCAAACTTTGGCAAGAAGTCGAATCCAGTAAATTTCTTAAAATTTGGAGAATGCTTATTTTGGCATGACTAGCCCCATGTACAAGTACAATATAAATAATTAAATGAATGCATGGAGCACTTCAGCATCACTTTGATAGTACTAGTTCTATTCTGCTAAAAAACTAATATAATCTAAAGCCCTAAAGTACTCCATGTCCCTACCTAAATTACCGGTAACTTTATGCAATTTTCTAGCAGAATTGATGTAAACCAAGTATTTATTGAATTACCTCAGGTTACGGAAAAACAATTTCATTTGTTTTTAATCTGTCATTAATTAATCAGTTTACAGTTTAAAACAAAATTAATTATATTTTATCTTCATGATTTGAAACCCAAATTGTACAATAGAGTCATATAAAATCCAGAGAATTGTACTTTAATCAATCAATTTATACAGGAAAGTATCAATCTTGTTCTACCTTGGAAAGGTAATATTCCCATCAAACATAATGATAATGCAGTAATAAAAAAAATATAACAGTCTTTGCAACAATCCAACATACAATGTACACATATACAGTAGTACAGTATTACAGAAGACACATAATATTATCCTTAACCACTTATAGCATACCGTAGATATAAATGAGACTTCACACGCTTTACAGCCTATTAAAGGATGGCAGTTCAGGATGTTTACACATCCAACAGGCATGAAACTATAAATACTGGCTCACATTCACCACATCATAGTCACAAAAATAATTAAAAGGCAGTAAAAAGTTACTTGCACTGGTGGTTCATCTGTAAAGTGTACAATCCAAGGTTGCTTTAATTTCAGGTTAGCTCTATTTATTATTAAACAATTTTTTCCTAATCGTGTCAAGTATATTCTGCCTCGTCTATGCGTTTTTTCCGCCACATTTGTAGCTTCTCAATCCATCGATCCATTTTCTCTTTCGGTGAGGCCCTTAACTGGAATAAAAATGAAAACAAGAAAAATTCAATAAGAAGCACTAACAAAACAAACAGTTTAGAGGTGGTGTTATAATAAAGGAAATCAGAAACTGCAATAACAAAACAGAAATTACAGAGTGCAGTGGATTATTAAAGACAATTCATTCATAAATTGCAGTAGCAAAACAAATATTATTGAGGGCGGTATTATGAAAAACATGATTCTGTGCATATTTAAAATAATTATTGCAGATTGGAAAAGCAAAAACTTTTGTGTAAATTTGCATACATTGGAATGAGCACAAAAGATTGCCCAATTACAACAACCATTTATTTAAAAAAAATTCTAATTTCTTTGTAACTTTGTGAAAAAGATGCCTATCAGAAATAGAAAAAAATAAATAAACTGCAGAGGGCAGTATAATAAAAAAACAACAAAACAGAAAACAATGCATTCTTGTTTGCAACCACTGGCCTGCTATACCAAGTTTCAATTTAAAACATTCACTTACACTTTCACAAGTTAGTTTCCAGTTGGGTCTGTAAAGAAGAGCAGCAACGTTAGGGTGCTGTAGAGTTGGATGTGCCGAGCCATTTGTTACTGAGCCTCCAAAAATTGCCATATCATGGCTCTGATCAAGTGACACCGGCCTAGAGCTTGTAGAACTTGACTGATGATTAAAATTTAAACAATAACACCAGGTATTATATCTCATATAGATGTCAGAGTAACACAATATGTTATAAAAAAAAACACATACGCATACATATATAAAATGAATATACTGTAGAGATAAGCCTAATTGTTATATACTGTATAGTATACATAAAATATTTTCCGATATTTTAATATATTACAGTTCAATTATTTATTAGAAAGATTGTAAAACATGAACTACTACCTTATGGTAGGTAATTCAAAAACAGCGATTGAATTTAAGGTCAATGTGTTGTGTTCTCTGTGTGTAGACTGCCCTCAGTTTTCCCTTTTTTTTTTAATGATAGAATGCAGTAAGCCTGTGTTGCCCGCGGTCTGTATAGCAGAGCATGCAAAAAAAATCTAAAGCAAATCGAGCCCGCAGGCAGACACCACGTCCGACTAAGTGCAATGCCCATGATCGGTACTGTAGTTTGTGTTTGTACATTAATTTTGTAAAGTAATAATTTAATGAATACAGAATAACATAAAAAAACAAAAGACAGATGAAAGTGAAATACATTGGAGTAGCTAAAATGTTAAAGTTAATAAAATAAAAGATAAATCATTAGTATACTATGTTTTTCTGAATCATCACTGGCACTAACCTTAACTGGGTTCAGGTCCCAACGAGAAGATTTGAATGCTGTCTGACGAAAGCTATCCTTTTCGAGTCTCTTCAACTCTTTTTTCATCTCAGGATCATCTTCATTCACTTCATTCTTCTTGGAAGTTGTTTCTGTGGATACTACTCAACATCAAAATATTATGGAATCAAATTAGTGCAGAGTAGAAAAACCCTGTGCCAAAAACACAGGAAAACAGGATGGAAGAAAATAACTAGTTTGGAACGATTTAGAGGACATAAATTGCATTAAATAACTAGTTCATTGATACCAAAAATATGTATGTCAACTTTTAAGAGCACATCTTTGTTATACGGCATTTGGTTGAGTCAAGTTGTAAGCCGTTCAAAGTATAGAAAATGACAAATGTTGAAGGTAGAAAAGCCCAGTACAAAAACATAGGAAATGGAAGAGAAGAAACAGAAAAGAAAAACAGACCCTAACAGGGACTGTGGTTTATGTTAAATTTTTTATATGTTTGGAATGTTACAAATATTGTTTTATACATTTCAATTTTTTTTAAAGTCTTCATCCTGGGAGAGGGTTGGGGGGGGGGGTGTTCTGGCAGAGCAGGGTCCATTACCTACCCACCCCCCGGTCTAACCTAGATCTCAGTACAACCAAATTTAATAATATTTCATACCCACAGTACATACATACATACTGTATAATACATTGAGACATAAGTCTTTTTCAATGGCTGTTTTGTTAAGAATTATTTACAAAACAAATTTCTACTGAATAATCAGTGTCGCTTATTATTTTCCAACTGGTACTTACAGGCTGCCAACCAGCACCGTTCTTCAATGAATTTGTACGCAGATGTAGTGGTCATATCATTACAGACACAACCGACGACAGTTTGATTATAAATGGCAATAGATTTATAAAGCAATTAGTATAGTGCTTATCTATACACTACATGAAGTTATTATACTATGTTACTATAGTGCATTCAAAAAATTCCTTTTGGCCTTACAGACCCTTAGGATTCTTTTTTCATGCATTAACCTAACCTTCATATAATAATTTTCAATAAGGTGTAATTTTGGTTTAATCATAAATGAAAGTTTAACACTACAAAGAAACCAGATGAATTTTTCAATGATCTAAGGTGTATGTTACACAACTATACTAAATGCTTAATGTTACATATAATCATAAAAATTAAATTTATATACAAAATAATAATATAATTTTTTAAAATACCTGGTGCTCCAGAAGCATTTTCTAGTGCCTTCTGCATCTTTTGTTTCAACAAGTTGGATGGTGCCTGGAAAATAACCAGCAAATAGTGATATTACTATCATAATACATTGGAAAAGTGACAACGTGTAGCAACACAGTACTACCTCTACATTTAATGTGTTGCTTTTGCGAGAGCGGCACCAATTAAAGGTGGGGAAAAACATTATTGTATTTTTCACACATCAGTACTCTAAAATCAACTAAGTCTTTGAAAATTGTCATAATTTTCCGGTGGACTTCCCCCGGATCACCTCCGAGAGATTTTGGGTGACGTCCGAATACAGCAACTTATGCTCTCGTCAGGGAGTTGGATCTGTTGTCGGGCAAATCATGGTGCCACCACTAGGCTTTTAGAAATAACGAGAACTTACATTCACTGTATACAGCAGATCCATAACCTCAAATACGATTTCAACTGCATGCTGATAGTGTTAATAAACTTAAACAAGTTTTCTTTGTACTTTTTCTTCTCTTGTATACAAAGCAGGAGGCAATTTCAGAGTTGCATTTTACCTGTTGGCTATCTCTCTTCAATTGCATTTCATTAACTTACATTTTTTTATTTTATTAATAATTACATTTGATTTATTCAGTTTGATTAATTAAACATGTCAGAACAATTGAACTCATTGGGCCATGACTTTAAACATTTTTTTTTTGCTATAACAAAAGTTACTTATTTAAAGTACTGAACAAACTCAACATGAAGCTACTACAAACCAACTACCTACTATATTTGGATTTACATTAAAAGTCACTAATTATCATTTATGAATAATCCTCATTTTATATTATAATTCCTTGATGATATATTATTATTTATTTTAAATATTTTATGCACAAATGAAAAAGATATTAATTTAATTAAGTAAAACAATGCACAAGCCGGGTGGGGTGTCTAAAAGCTTGATAAGGTTATCAAGACTGGCTTTGAGGTTATGAGAACCAAAAATTATCACACACAAAAAAATTATTGCTATTAGAATTTCTTTCTTGCATCCTGGATTTGTTGAAATGATAAATTATTTGTCAGAAGTTGATGCTACGATTTAGGGCCACATTTGGCAAAGGAACTGCCAAGAAGAAGGAGTGCTTACCGAATCGGAGCTAGTTTTTTCGTCCTTAGCTTGCTTACCCTTCTGTTTGTCTCTCTCAGTTGGAGAGCCTTTCCTTGATGAATGACGAGAACGACTGCCGGAGCTGCTACGTCGTCGCCGTTCCCGATGAGTACTACGTGATCGACTTCTTGATCTCCGTCTGGAACGTGATCTACAACAATTTGTTTTTAACATTAACTCAACCAGAAATACCTTAAGATTTTAATAAATTACTTTTTAATAAGCTCCTATTCACCCTGATGATTGTTGGAAATGTAATCATGACTATTCATTGGTGTGATTGGACGTTAAGCCACCAGATTCTAAATAGATCTGATGAGTATCAGTTTCGGTGACATCACCATTCATGTGATGCCGTCACCAAACCTGATTAGGGGATTCTGAGCAGATGATTGATGACTGGTGTGGTCACCAGTATGCAAGTGTATCAGAATTTTATTTGTCAACAAAACTGATCACTTAGGTAGAATCAGCTGGTTAAGCAGTGTAGGCCTATACAGTAGATACATTGTTCCTTGTTTTAATTCATTTTTTTGTAATTATTACTGTATTTTTTATGGTAGAACTGTTAGTATTTGTCTTTGTATAATAAATCCCAGTTATTATTGTATTTTTAAATTGAGTGATTCTTTGATGTTTTAAAATATCTGCTTGTTATAAATATTTTGATAATGTAATTCAACCTTTAACTTTTAAGTTTCAATATAAGAGATAAAATTGAATATTAGAAGTTTGGAATACTTGTAAATAATACTTGTAAAATGAGGAAATTTATTAAAGATATAACCTTCTACTTCTACTGTTTGATCTCGATCTTCGCCGTCGTCTTGCATAGTCATCATATGACCTACTTCGTGACCTTCTACGCCTAGATGGAGAGTGGGATCGTGATGGCGACCTGTACCTCGATGACTTGGACGAGCGGCCCCCTCTATATGGTGAATCATTGCTACTTGAAGATGATGATCTTCTGCGGGTCTTTCGTGACTTCTGACGCGATTTATGATCGTCGCTGCTTCTACTCCTTGATCTGGAGTGGCGTCTAGATTTCTTCTTGTGGCTTCCCATGTTCCAATTTTACAGTACCCTGAATCAAAGTAAAATGAAAGGTTTGCTCTACATTAATAATTTTTTGTACAAGAGTGTATTCTTTTTATAAATACAAGATGAAGGGGTGTACCTAATGACTAATGTGAGATGGAGCATGCTTATCTTCTCCAATCAGGCCAGATAGTGTGGGCCTAGGCCTGTGTTTATTCCTATTCTTTAACACAAGCTGTAGATAGTCTATGCCAGCTAAGCTAGGTTTTTGGAAGATTAAGCCAAGGCTTACTTTGTGAGCACCCAACCCTGAAGGGTGCTGGCTAACTCGTACTCATTTCAAGTCGTACCCACTTTGAGGAACCTGTACTCAAACTGTATTCAAACTGTATTCATACTTTTACTTTAGCGTAATAATAAACAAAATTTAAAATTAATATAAGTGTACCAAACAAAACAAAAACCAATAGCTGGGATTGTAATTTTGCATATGTATAGCTCTAATTGACACTACTCATTACTGTAATAGCACCCCCTTGTTATATTCGACATCATGAATTATTAAATTTAGTTCCTCCTGTATCAGAATCTTCTATTAATAGGCCTATTAAGTTTGTCTTTAACATTGTTTACTGCTATCAAAACAGATACTGTAATACTCTTTGCACTGCCAAAACTGTGGGTATTTGTCAGCCAAACTGTGGGTACAAGTTCCCTTGACTGAACTGAAGACTTCAAAGTGAGGTACAGTACCTAGTTAGGCTAATCAGTACTATCTAGCTAGCCTAAGGTCTAGGCCCTAGCCTAGGCCTTGTCCAAGGTCATTTTATTTGTATACATACAGAGTATCTTGTTCTTATCTGTAGTATAACTCAGCAGCACCTGTTTAATTAGTTTAACGCCGAAATACAAAGGGTCGTGGTAAAAACTTCTTAGTTATCTCTATCTAGTTTACCTAGTTAGCTAGGCCCTGTACTGTAATCCGGTACTGCCCTCCTTGTAAACACATAGTGATGCCGATGGGGCAGACTCCAAGCTTTGGCCTCTCTAGTAGACCCTCTAGCTAGGCTACAGTTGGCCTAGCCTTGGACTGAACACTAGATTAAATGCAAACTAACATGCTTACACAATCTAAGTAAATTTCAATTATTTAAACACAATTAAATGCACGAAATGTAAAAGCTTTAAGTATTAATTAACCAACTATTTAAAATAAAAATGTTTTCAAGCCGAAGAAAAAGCCATCTTTTCTTGTTTTCTCCAGCTAATCTCTAGAGGGCGCATGCAAACATTGGCCGTATTCGACTGTGGTTCTTCGTTAAACCACGCCACCTGCGCACGACCAGCCATCGATAGAAAATAATACTCGACAAAACAAAATAGCTGCATAACCGCGATACGTACGCTGCGTAATCAAGGCTTCTTCGGATTTTGTGGCAGTATGGGCTTTCCGTAAAAAAATGTTTTCATCCAGTTTTTGAATTCTGTTATCTAAATTAATTTTAATTTTAATGTAGGTAAATATTATAATTTTTATTTTCTGAAATTTAATCTAAATTATGTTAACGCAAATGTTGTTGCTAAACTGACAATCGGCTATATTTGTTTTGGTCACGTGGATAACTTAACGCTGAATAACGCATTCTGATTACGTTAATTTTCGTTGTCAATGAAGTCTATTTTACGAACCAGTCGAATGAAAATAATACTCAACGAAATGAAACAGTCGAATAAGCCCAATATGTGCGTCTAACACTCGCCCCTGAAACACATTCGCCCTAGTACCAGTCGCACGTCCCTGTTTGCCCATGTTTTAAATGTAACAAAACTTTCAGTAAGAACAGTTACTTAATTCAGAATACAGGTATCCTCCGATTAAAGACCACTTTTGGGACTATTTCCAAGGTCTTTAGCAGTTGGTCTCTAACTAGAATAA